AAACATACTGGGAAAATGTTCACAAAATCATCAACCATTTGTAGATTTGGAGTTGATAAAGTTCTTCTTGGATAGAAGAGCTATAGAAAGATAAAATTACAATTAAAAACTTAAAATTCTGTAAATAATACTATTAGTATTAATACTAAAAGACAAATAACAAACTGGAAGAAGTACCTCATATTTTACATACAAAAGATTAATATCCAGAAGAGTTTAAGAGCTCCTTTAAATCAATAAAAGACAATAACCAGTGACAAAGGTTCAAAAATGTGTAAAATCTATGGTAGATAATGCAAACTGCTCATGACATGTAAAATAACTCCTTACCTCATTGATATTGAGGAAAATGTTTATAAAATATCATTAATACACAATCTCTTGCCTATCAGGTTGGCAGATGTAAAGAAAATTAACAAAAGCTAGCAATGGTATGTGCGAAGACGTTCATACATTATATTCTTGTTAGTAATTTGTGATAACAAAAAGGTATTTATGATCTTTGACTTTAATAATTCCAAGTGTGTAGTATATATCCTAAAAACATCTCATAGAGAAGTGTCTAAATATATGTGCATATTCCTGCTGCATTGTAAATAGTGAAAAATTGTAATTAACCATATACTAAAATGGAGACTGGGAATCAAAAGATTGAATAGAGTGAATAGAGTTTTATGCACTGGTCTTTTTTTTTTTTTTTTGGAAAAAACCAAGTTCAGAATAATATATTCAGAAACATATAATGTCAAAACCCATAGTTACCATAATTAGATACAGAAATATGTTTAATTGCAGGAAAAATTATGAACCACTTGATTTTATCTATGTAAGGAACAATAAAACAGACAATGTGGTTCTGCATGTTCATAGATGCATAGAAAAACATCCAAAAGGATTCATATAAAGCTGATAATAATAGTCCTGGGGAGAGTTGTGGGGTTGTATATGTACAGGAGAGAAGAGGCTTGGGGGTATTTTTGCTTTATCTTCTTTTTTTTAATTTAGGACTAGAAACAGAATTTTGAAAAGGATATAGAAAAATATATGATAAAGTAACTTATGGAGATATCACTGAAAATTCTAAAAATAAATTTAATTGGCAATGGCATAGGAGTTAAAGGGGTATTTGTTGGTTTCTGATAGACATGGGTAGCCAGCATTGAGAGCAAAAAAGCATATGCTTTGGAGTCAGTGACACGTGATGTTGAAATCTCATTCTTCACTTACTGTGTAACTTGGGCTGGTCAATTAACCTTTCTAAATAGTGAATAGAACCTGTTTCAAAGGGCTGTTATGAGGGCTGATGAGATCACACAGGCAAAATCTCTAGCATGTAGTAGTCACCAGGTAGTTAAGTGATTGAGTGTTATTAATGGTAATGGTTAAAAACTGTTCTATAATCCAATGAGAAATGAGAAACAGATTAACGGTGACCAAATCAAATCACAGATTTAATCTGCAGATTGCACATACAGGTGACTAGCAAAGATTTTTAAAATTATTTGTTCTATCTACTTCTAATGTTACTTATTCATCCATCCATTCACTTATTCAACCAGTATTTACTGAGCATTTCTTATTTTAGGCACTTGTGTATGTTAGAAATGAATCTTCCCATTTTCTGGGAGTTGGTATTGTTCCCCAGTGGGAGAAAGACAAATTTAGTCTGCAGCATAGCAGTAGAGTCACAAAGTCAATGGGCTCAGGCAGCTTGGGTCTGATTTCTAGCTATGTCATTTATTAACTCTGTTCTTAGGAATTTTTTAACCTTTTTGGTCTCATTATCTATAAAATGAGGTTGACAGCAGTTCCCTCACCCCCTACATTCCCACAGTAAGGTTTTTTTTTTTTTTAAAGATTTAGTTATTTATGCATACAGAGCTGGGGTACAGGCCAGAGGTGCAGGGGTGGTGAGAGGATTCACCAGAGACAGAGTGGGGAGCAGAACAGGTAGATCAACCAAGCACACTGCTGAGGGGAGCAGCAGGCAGGTCAGGAGAGGTCTGCTGCGACATGTGGGTCACCTCTGGGGTGGGGGATGGAACTCCCACTGTAGTGGTTGTGGACAGCTTGCAGTGCTGCATCCTTCCTTACTGGCTGCACCACCAAGGAAGGCTAGCCCACTGTAAGGCTAAGATGATTAAATGAATCATCACAAGGAAAAAGTACTTTGCACATGGTATATACCAGTAAATGTCAGCCACTTTAATTTCCAGGCAATTATGTCACTATGTGGTTGCCTTAAAAGGGGAATCCTGAGAGGAGAGACCTCAGTGGATATAAAGTTACTTATCTTTCTAGCAAACTACATATATTTAGTAATAATGGATTCCTTTTGGTATTATTAATGAAAAACTAATATAGAACTAGAATAAGAACTTCCAATCAGCATGAGATAAGCAATGCAATACACTTCTGTCCAAAGCAAAGAAAGAAACTTGACATTTTAACCTTGGGAAATTATCTAGTGTAAATGGGACAGTTCCATTAGGAATTCCTTTTATAGCAAGGAATTCTCTGACCAATTGCCAGTCAGTTCTGCTTGTACATTTGTAGAGACAGGGAGCTCACTCCCTGGAAGTTAGCCTTGTCTCTCTGGTGAGTTCTAACTGAGAAAAAGTTCTCCTTTAGGTAGAGCTAAAGTCTGTCTTGCTGCTATCTCTGGCCCTACAACACAACTGTATCCACTGTCCTCCAGGGTCTGATTATAGTCTTCATAGCCCAACACATTTTCTCCCCTACCCATGCTCCCCTCTCCCCTCCCCCCTTTCCTCTGATATCTCCACATACTTTACACAGAATCATTTTCAGTTTCCTCATTCACATCAGCTGGTCATTGTATCCTTGTAAGTAATGGTGCCCCAGAACAGACACAATCAGCATTGCTGATGTGACCTAATCAGGGCAAAGTGCTTGAGAGGCCTCACCTTCTATAATCTACACTTTATGATTCTAACAATAAAGCACAGAAAACAAAAAAAAATGTTTTCTGGCAGCTGCATTGAATTTACTCAATTTAAAGCCTGTAATTGGCAAATAACCCTAATATTTCTCACCTAGACTACAATACTAAATTTGTTTCCCGATTTAGAATTAAATGGAATCATGCTATATGTACTGTTTTATAATTTGCTTTTTCTCTGAAGATTGTGAGATTCATTTATGTTGAGTAGGCAGTTGTAGATTGGTCATTTTCCATGTGGTAGAGTTGTTTGATCATTTTAGAATGTATTTCCTTAACCTGTTGATGAACATTTGGGTCATTTATTTAATGTATAATGAACTGTGTCACCTTGAATATTCTTGTATGTGTCCCCTGGGGTACATGTACAGTGCAATTGACAATTATTTCATATGTTTAAATCTTATTGTCAATTCTCAATTTCCTTCAGAACATAAGAATCACATTTTTTACATTTAATAAAAGCTTTAAGCACATAACTAATTTTCTTAGGGATAGACACCTAGGGGGTGAAATTGTGTGTTAGGGTTTACATAAAAATATGAAACTGTATATAACTCTTGACTGATTGCAGAATTGCTTTTTTAGGCCGTCTCCTTAGCAAAGGGAGATCTAGATATCTAAACTGGCAATCTAACCACTTCTGAATGACATTGATCTAGAGAACCTGGCTTGGAATCCCAGAGGGGGCAATAAGTGTGCCTCTTCTTCACTGAGAGGAGCCCCATTAGTAAAAGATGCCAATATCTGCTATCTTTGTGACCCTGCCTTGTGTGAGTCATCACAGCAAGGTGGAGGATACACTGGGCTACCCTATGCTGGACAAAGGTCTCACTGCCAAGTGCAAATTTGCTCACCCAGGAAAGTCATCTCTGAGGAGACTGGGGGTGGAGGAAATAGTATTGCCTGCTCTTTTCAAGACACACCACCCATCCAAGGATATTAAACACTCAAGTCTCTATAGAGGCACTCCCCTAATGTGAGCAGGATTGTGAGGCAAATGTACTACAGATGTCTCAAGTTTACCTAAATTATTTAAAATTATTGTCATTCCAAGTAATAGTTCATCTTAATGTACTTTTAACATTTTTAAGCAGGTGAAAGACCAGGTTCAAATTTAGAATTCCTGTACTCAGGTGTATGTGCTTGAATAAGGTAGAGGAGCACCCGGCCTATGGGCTGTTAGCTCATGGCCCATTACCCTGTATTCCTTTCTTTGTTCTGCGCTAGGGGTTCTGTAGGCTCAGATCATATGCTCAAGTGCTGTATCACCTCCCCCAAATCAGTTACTTTTAGGAATGCTCCGATACTGCCATAGTGAAGATGAAGAGCGGCTTACAGCATCCAGGAACTTGGGAAGGAATTTCTGAGTTCATAGGGTCCCGGAACTTGATTCTGCAGGGGCACAGGGGCAAGGCGCGCATGTCCCCGGGACCCTGTAGACTCCTCATTCGGTGGAAGGAGTGTGACCAGAGGTGCCTCAGGATTGGGGGTACTGTATGCATATCGTTCCTCTTAGGAGTGTAGGTAATGTGGCCAGGCTGTTTCCCCAGCATCTATACCAGCAGCTGCCGCTTAAGCAACGTTGTACATAGATGCTTAATGGAACGTAAGTCTCAAGCAGTGCCTCATGCATTATTTCATTTAAAATTTTCTTAGTCATTGTACAGATGAAGGACAAGAAGTTTCAAGAGGTAAAACGACTCGCCCAAGGTCACAGTTAGAAAGGGTAGATTTGCACTCCTTTTGCCAGCCGGCCTCCTCTTTGGTCCTCCTTTTATTTTCCTTTGTTTCTGTGCTGAAGCTGTCGACTGTGAGGTGGCCCTCTAAGAGGCCGGATTTTCTTCGCGCCCCCCCCCCCCCATGCTCTCCTTCGTATCCCACTGCTCCCAGCTTCCTCCTTGAAGCCTCGCTCCGGCGCGGAGCCGCGGCCTCGGCTCCTCCTCCAGTCTCGGCTCCCGCCCCGCTCCCCCTCCTCAAGGGAAGCCCCGCCCCTCCCTTAGGGCGACGTCACGTGCCGCCCCATCCCCCCGCGCTTGCGCACTGCTTATTTCCCGCTGTCAGGATGAGGAGGCGGAGGTCGGCGCTCGGGTCCGTCTCTGCCCGCGGCTGTGGCGGCACCGGCGGCTCCAGCCTTAGCGGTTCCTCCCAGGGCGCTGGCGGCGGCGGCTTGGTCGACGCCTCTTCCGCCAGCTGATCCCGCGGCAGCGCTGGACGCCGCTTCCCCGCCCATCCCCGTTCCCCGAGGCCGGCCACCTGGCCATGGCGCAGCCGGGCCCGGCTCCTCAGCCTGACGGTGAGGCGCCCACCATGGCAGGCGCGGCGGGCGCGGCCTGTGCTGGGCTAGCGTCGCAGGGGGTTCCTCCGGGTAGAGGGAAGGGCTCGCTCAGGACGAGGGGGGTCGGGGGGGGGACCCCTGCTGGGCAGAGGTGGGAGCGTGTGGGTTCCGGAGCTGGCTGCGCGCGAGGGTGGCGCGGGAGCCTGGGGCAGCCTGGGGCAGCCTGGGGCTGGGCGGCCGCCGCTGGGGAGGGGGTTGGAGGCGCTGGCGGGTGGCGGAGGAAAGGGCGTGGGGGATCTGGCAGAAGCTGGTAAGCGTGGAGAGCGAGCTACTTGGGTAGCGGTGGGACTGGCACGTGGGTTTCTGCCCGTGGGGTGGATGGAAAAGGGGAACATGCGCTGTACTCGTTAGAGGAATTGCCTTAGTTATTGGTGTGTGCCCCCACCCCCCGTTCGAATTCTTGCTACAGATCGCTGTGCGCCTGGTTTTGTGATATAAAACTAATTGGGAACATTAACTGGATTTAGTGGCGTTCTTTGAAGCTGGGTGGTTTAATAGTAAATTCTGGGGCCTGAGAGGCTAGAGGACCTAGATCCTTTAACTAACAAGCCCTAGGCAAATTCCTTTACTTCTTTGGATTACAGCCTTCTTGCTCATGAAAAGAGGTTCATTAATGCCTTTATATATTATTTATAAAGATGCAAGTGTGTACAATGATTATTATTATGAGGTATTTGGGAATAATGAGATTGGTGTCTGAGAATGTTGAAGTCGAGGAAACGGTGTCTTTCATAGCACTTTTATTTTTAGAAGGAAAATGAACCCTAAATAACTCAAGTTGGATGTCAAGAGTTCTTCATGAACCTCTGGGAAGTGTACTATAAACTCTGCTTTAGGTGATAATTGACCACATCCTTCCACATTTTGCTACCTGGAGTAATGTTTGGAAATAATGTGGGGTCACCTTTGGTAGGGTGCTACTGAATCATGTTGTAAAGTATTTACAGGTGTTTTTCTGTAAACAGTAAGAGTGCTTTGTATCTCTAAGTGTGAGCACAGTGTCTGGATATGGTGTAGGTCTTGTAGTAGGTACTTTAAAAACTTGCCTTTGCGTAAGGTTGTTTTTTAAATAACCTTTCATGGAAAATCTTGCTTTGTTCTTGCCTTTGACTGAAACAATGTTATCAGATTTTAAGGTTTAAAGCTATCTACTTTCTTGGAAGTGTCCTTCAAAGCTTGTTAGCCTTTAGTTTTAGGTTTTGTTAGTTTCCTATGGAGAGATATCCAGTCTGCTGCATACACCTGGAATTGCAGAAGAATCTGCTGGCTGTTTGTATTTAAGTGGAAGAGAAGTTGGGTGGGGTTGGGGGGGCATTTCTGGTGGTTATCAGAAGAGACAGGGATAGTTCAAGCAACATTTTCTCACCTTTTGCATTTGGTGTCATGGAACAAAACTGCTTTTCCACAAATCCCTCATTGTAAACCACAGACAGAGGCAGAATAGAGAGTGCTCCAGTGGCTGGCTTCTGGTTCTGTTCTGGAGGGGGTAGTATACTTAGCCAGCTGCTTCCTTCTCTTGAGTTGCATGGAAACAAATGTCTAAGGCAGCTCAGGTGACATGACAGTCTGGAATAAAAATTCCCTGCCTCCTTTAAGATGAGAAATGGTTTTCCTTGTACATAGGCAGAAGTGACTAAGCACTGAAAAGAGGCTAGGAGAAATTCGGTTTAGGACTGTATTTTTGCTAGTTTTGGTAGAAATTTATTCCCTGTTTTTCAAATTCTGTGACTCTAGGATGAGATTTGGTTTATATAAATGCCACTATTTACTTTCAATTAGTATAAGCAGCTACAGCTACTGTTTAAAACAGAATTTGAGGTATTTGAGTGCTTTGTGTCATTAGATGGTCATTTTGGGGATTTTTTTTTCTGTTTGAATTTGAATAGACCATTTCTTAGTACTTTTAACTTTACACACGTTTCCTTTCTTTGTTGATTAAAAAAATACAGAATTCTTTTTGTCAAATTGAAAGAATGATAACTGCTTCATTTTTTACTTATTCTTGCCTTTGACACATTCGAAGCAATTGTGTTTTATGTTGACAATTGTTCTCTTTGTTTTTCAGGTAGATATATAGAGTAAGAAAAGATTAGATTTGTGTATTAATTAAAATGTAATAATTTTGTTCTTTTAAATTATTTGGTAAATTTTTTTTAGAATTTAGTTTTCAAGCAATCTTTATGACCAAACAGTTCAGCTGATTTCATTTTACCTTGAGAATTCAAAGACAATAATCATGAAAAAAATTTTAATTTTAGTATCTAAGTTATAAGAAACATTTGCTCTGATTTTACACCATTACTTTTTAAATTTAAAAGCACTCCTAAAATTTCTCCATTAAGAAAGTATGTATATTAAGAAGTATGTGTTCTATCCACTGAGTTTTCTATCGTTCTTGATTTTTCTGTAGTTAAATAATGTACTGCCTTTTACCCCTGAAAAGGACATGCTTTAAACATAGAATCTGCAACTTGTCTATTTCTTTTAATAAATGTTAGCTGTGATTATTATGTATACTTGTAAATGATTATGTGGCCTTGTACTAAAAACACTGCAAGCATGATCTCAGGCAATCTTCCTATCATTGAGGTAGATACTAAAGTATTATTTCTATATTATTGATGAGGAAACTGAAGCATAGTGAAAAAAAAATCCTAGAGTTCTAGATAGCTAGATAGTGGGAGAGCCACAATTCAGTAGACTACTTTCCACAGTGTTAACAGATCTGCCTCATTCTTGTTAGGGTAGCCCATCACATTCGTATATTATGGGCTATTTATTTTACTGATAGATAAGTAGATTTTTTTCAGTTTTTAAAAAGTTACTAAGTGTGTGTTTTTAAAAGATTATCTATTTTATCTTAGAAGAACTGGGGTTGAGAGGATTCACCAGAGACAGTGGGGAGCAGAACAGGCAGATACACAGAAACAGACCACAAAGGGATGCAGACAGTGGAACAGGCGAAGTCTGCTGTGCCAAGTGGGTTAGTTCCCTGGCCTGGGGATTGTACCCAGGCCCTTGCTTTAGGCCCCTCTGATACTTAACTCCCACATCACCAGGGAAGTTTATTCATTTTATGAGCAGTGCTTGTACAGTTTTACAGATGCTCTTGCTTTTGTAAGACTATTGAACTGAAGGTAATGAGCTTTGAGTAGTTTAAATTTTAATAATGGTTGCTAGATTTTTCTCAAAAAAAGGTATCAGTTTATATACCTGCCAGCAGTATATGAGAGGTGGATTTCCCCTATAATCATATAAGATCTGGATAATATTAGATAAAATTGTTGTTTCCTGATAGATTTAAGAAGTTATGTTTTTCAATTAAATGTCTCATGCTTTTTCTGTGCAAAGCCCAGTGCTAGGGTCTAGGAAATAAAATGACCAATAAAACCAGACCCAAAAGGTAGTGAATTAGATGCTTGTTAATTAGATAATTCCACAGACAAGTCTAAAACTATTGAACAAGTATGAATGCCCACTACTTGTCAGGAAAAATTCTAGATATTTGGAGTATATCAGTGGGTAACACAGATGACAAATAACCCTGCCCTAGTGTGGGAAAAACAGATTAGTTGTAATTAAACAACATAAGCAACTGATATCTATTGTTAAGTGGTAAGTGTCATGGGAAAAAAATAGAGACAGGGTGAAGGGGGATGAGTTGGTTAAATAGGGTAGTCAGAGTAAACTTACTGAGATGACTTTTGAGAAGACTCAAAGGAGAGAGAGGGATCAATTTTTGCAAATGCCTTAAAGGAAGGCGTATATCTGGCATATTTGAGGAGTGGCGTGAAGGTCAGAGTGACTAAAATGAAATACTGGGGAGGGGCTTGGGGAGAGAGGAAGAGAAAGAATAATAGGATATGAGGTAAGAGGTAATGGGGTGAGAAAGGAGAATAATAGGATATGAGGTTGAGAGGTAATAGGGTGGAGGCAGAACTTGGAGGGTTCTAGTATTATAAGGATTGGCTTTCACTGTGGGAAGTTTTGAGCAGAGTGGTGATGTGATCTGATATGTTTAAAAGAATCAGTACAACTGATATTGTTAATAGAGCAAAGGTGGCAAGGGAGGCATTAATCCAGGAAAAAGATGAAGATTGAATCAGGGTGTAATGGTGGGGGTTAGTTTTTGAACATATGGCCAACAGGATTTGGATTAGATAAGGGATGCCAGAGAAGTATCTGGGATCATGCAAACATTTTTTGGCTTAAGCACCCTCACTGCAAGCAAAAGAACAAGAAGATCTATGAAGGAAGGTACCTTTTTTCAGTTTTCTTATTAAGATAACTAAATTTCTTACAAGTGGTAGTCTTACTGCAGTTTGAATGTCTGTAGAGAACTAACTACCTCCTAGTTTTTCCTTTAATTAAGCAGAAACTTGCCTCATCATAACTTCTCACTGGTTTTAGTTCTCTAGGATCAGAGTGAAGAAACCAAAGGCATTCTTCCGCATGTTTATCTGAAGAAATTTGTTGGTAACATGTCTTATTTTTGTTTCTCCTGTCAGAGGGATTTGAATCTACTTAACATTTTTATTTTTTTGACAGATTCTAATTGTTAATGACTTTTGGTGGTCCCTTGTATTCTCTAGATGTAGTTAACCTATAGGGAGTATTAGGTTTTGAGCCATCATTGAAAGAAATGTTAAAAAACTAGTTATCTTTACTCATTTTACAGATCATGCAACTATGAACTAAAGAGGTGGAAGTGACTAGTATTGTAGGAGTCATTGTAAGAATTTAGGACTGGAATGGGGTTGACCTCTTTTGGTTGCTGCTGCTTAAATTTATATAGCATGAACTTTCTAGATGCCTCATTGTGACATGACGTGGTAAGAATCATAAACTTGTTATATAACTTGACTACAATCAAACTGCACAAGACTTTTTTTAAAGATTTATTTATATATGCATACAGAACTGGGGTACAGGCCAGAGGTGCAGGGGTGGTGAGAAGA